TAATAATAATATCTCATTTAACCGTTGTGATGAAAAAGAATGGTTTAGTCTTTTAAAGAGGTAGTTGAAATGTTTTGACATGGGATTTTGTGGAAATGTTTTGTTACAGTAATTAGATTTCCTGATGTAATTTGCTCATTGTGGGTTAATGTTCACATTACAGCTCTTTATATAATATTCTGTTTATTTGCGGCTGTAGCACTTCCTGTGCCGTCAAATGACAAATTATCTGGAATAATTACTGTGAAACAGACAACAAACAGGGTGAAGATATTTATCCACAATCCTTCCACAGAACCTCACTTTAAAAGTCCTGAAATAGTCATTTAAGACAAACACAGATATAATGTCTACATCTGGGACAGCAACAAAATTCAGCTCAGAGTGGTTTCGGGACTCTGATAACTTAGAAACTGACCAGACCTTAAAAAAAGAGCTTTTAAGGTTTGCATAAACTTTTTTTTTTCAAATAAATTGTTAAATGGTTAGAATGCTTGTGCTGTATTTGTTTTTAAATGAAAAATAGCTGTGGTGCCATCGTGGACTGATTATAAAACAAAAAGAGGCTCCAAACCCCCTGAACCAAACATCCAGACTCAAAGAGAGAGGAAACAACCACAAACCACACAGCTGTGTCATTTTTACCCAGATTGTGTTTCCAGCTCATTATTTTGCAGATGTACATACTTTTTCATTTATTTTACTCTTACTATTCACTTTAATGTCTTTACTTTTTGCATCATTTATCTTCTTATGTTTGTTTGTTGTCTTCCCCCACCAGGTGAAAACATGATGTGGTCCTGACTTCATTTGGCTTAGCTGCCAGAGAAACGACCGCGGAGTGAGACCTCTTCACTTTTCTCTCCTCTCATGTTTCTCAGTGTAGTTTTTTTTTTTATTTTATTTCATTTTTTTTCTGCAGCGCTGTCACTCAAATCAGACGCCTCCTCCTGATTGGCTGGCGGGGCTTCTGGCCCCGCCTTCCTTGGCCCTCTGCAGCGTTGAAATGACACCGTGGGAAAGCAGCGCGCTTCAAACCGAGGCGCTCCGGGCGGAACTTTGGACAGAGGCACGAGCAAGGGACGTAAAACGAGCAGGTATGAAGAGGAACCACGACTTCAGCTCCTCGGACAGCGAGCTGGATGAAACCATCGAGGTGGAGAAGGAAAGCGCGGATGAAAATGGGTGAGTTGTTATTGGAGGGGCTAAATTATTATTTTAAAAGTAGGGGGGGAAAGTAGAAACAATTTCTGATATTCTTGTTTATTTTTTTTGAAGGAACATGAGCTCCCCTCTGCGCTCCATGTCTCCAACAACCTCCACTCAGGTGCAGGCCAGGAAAAGACGCAGAGGAGTGAGTGAAATCCTCACACTGACTTCTTTAAATCAGCTTGAAGCAGAAAATCAAACCTGTGTCTGATACATGTTCGTGTCTTTTGGTCAGATTATTGAGAAAAGACGCAGGGACAGGATAAACAACAGCCTCAGTGAGCTCCGCAGGCTGGTTCCCAGCGCCTATGAGAAACAGGTGGGTGAATCTAGGACTTTAAAATAATCTGCACTTGAGGTTCTGGGTTATTTATTGTGTGATTTCTGATTAAACCCTAAGGGATCTGCCAAACTGGAGAAAGCAGAGATCCTGCAGATGACTGTTGATCATCTGAAGATGCTTCACGCTGCAGGAGGCAAAGGTGACTTTATTTACCCTGACAGAAAAACATTAGTTTCAGAACATAGATCTGATGTTTCCTGTTTGCTCCCTCAGGTTACTTCGATGCCCACGCCCTGGCGATGGACTATCGTGGTTTGGGTTTCAGGGAGTGCCTGGCAGAAACGGCCCGCTACCTGAGCATCATCGAGGGCCTGGACAGCACGGACCCCCTCAGGATCCGTCTGGTGTCCCACCTGAACAACTATGCCAGTCAGAGGGAGGCTCACTCGGGCCTGAGCCACCTGGCCTGGGGCTCGGCTTTCGGGTCCCCCCCAGCCCCGCTCACGCACCCCCTCCTCCTGCAGCACCCGCCGGCCCCGGCTCCTCTGGCCCCTCTGCCCCGCAGCGCCACCAGCAGCCCTTCCAACCCGCTGTCGACCTCCTCGTCTCCGTCCTCCTCCTCGTCCGCCTCGTCCTCGTCCTCCTCGCTGGCCGCGGAGACTCATGCCCCGGGGGGCCGGCGCAGCGCCACCGCCACCCCTCACTCGGAGCAGGGCCCCGTCCGGGTCCCCTCCACCGCGGCGTCCACCGTCCTCCACCCGGCTCTGGTCCCCTCGTCGGCGTCCAAGCTGTCCCCTCCTCTGCTGTCCTCCCTCTCGGCGTTCCCCTTCGCCTTCGGCGCCTTCCCCATCATCTCGCCCGCCTCCGCCGTCAGCCCCCCAGCTCAGACCTCCGGCGTGGGCAAACCCTACAGACCCTGGGGCATGGAGATTGGAGCGTTCTGACTAAAATAAGAACTTCTTATAGACTGAGCGGGACTCTTGGACTTTATTCTCCCTTTTTAAAAAGTGTTACCTTTTTACTGAGTACAGAAAATAGAAAAAGTGTCTTTTTTTAAAAAAACAAACATTTTAGTTATTCTCCACACGAAGCTGTAGGGGAACTTAAAAGCAACGAGTGACTGTAACGTGTTGATTGACCTGTTCTCACCACGCCTTTAGAAGTTTCAGCCCGATGGCTTTTCCAGATGGTCAAGCGAGTTCCTAGAGACGAAAGTACCCCCGCCCACACCCCCCACCCTGGTTTCTGTTATCCAGATCTGAAACAGTAAGTGTTGGTGCCCTGGTTGCAGCTGAGCGTCACCCCGCTTTTGTTTTTTCACACCGATTTATGAGGTGGAATAACTGAAACCAGGTGCTTCTTTAACTCAACACCAGCCTGGCTCTAATGTGGGACTATTGTTCAAACACACCTTTTTTTTTACTTTTAAACATCACCTTCTCTTTTTAGTTGTTTACTTGTTTTAAAGCTCAACCAGTCCAATGTTAGAAATAAATCATTGTCTCACTGCAAGTTTGTATATTTTATAGTTGAGCACTGATGAATCAGATGTTTCATCCTTTTTTAATTGTTGCTGCTTCCCTACAATAAAGAGTTCTGATCAACTTTGTGGATTCTTTCTGTGAGTTTGAGTGTTTGATGCCTGCGGTTGTTTGTTGTTTTTATTTTTTTTGCGGTCACAGATGTGTGTTTGTGTGTTGTCCGTGCTATCAGATAGCCGTTTCTCTCAGCAGCCCTCCTGTGTGTTGCACAGGAAACCATTAACAAGGCGGGGATATCCTGGACAATAGTGGCCCGCCTGGACCAGTGCCGCTCCGTGGGAACGTGGAGGGAAGGAGGAGGACCAAAGGTTGGACGAGGATGAAAAAGGAGGGATGGAGGTTAGAGTAGGCGAGGGAGGGGGCAGAAGAGGGGGATCAAAAGGAGATGTGAGACAGGAAGGAGTTTTGTCTTTTTGCCATCATTTCATTCGAGCAGCAGCTGCTCCTTCTGTCCTCTCCTCTGTTCACACACGTCTTCATCACGCTTTAATCTTCATCATTCTTCTTTGGGTTTCCTCATCAAATTGCTTCATCTTTTGCTGATTCTGGCTCAGATGACGTCAGCGCTGCTGTCAGGTTTGGGGAAACAGAACTCGTCCTTCGTCGCCCTCTGCTGGTCAGAAGTTGCTCTGCCTCAGACGCCAGTCTGAACATTTCATCAGAAACTTTATTTTTTTATTTTAATCTGTTACACAGAATTGATCCTATTGATCAGAGCACGATGAAATATATTAAAACAACTGTTTCTATTTTTTATCTTTTTGTTTTTATTTTATTTATTTATTTTGCAAAAACCATCCAGAAACAATCAATCGTATATTTTGGAATAGTCACATCACAAGGACATTTTGGAGGAATGTACCAACT